TGTTTTGATTTGCATTTCTTTTATGGATAGGGAGGTTGAGTACTTCTTCATAAAACTATTATTTTAAACTAATATACATGTTATTTGAAATTTTTAGCCATCAACTTTTTTGTTTGTTTTGTGAAACAAGGTCTCATGGCTTTATACTAATTTCTGTGAATCCAATGTTCCTTACCAGCACATAGGTTGAGGGATCTTACAACACAGAAAGAAAAACCACTTTTCTCTATATAACAAATCTATATAACAAATGATTCTTACTGATATTGTTTGCTTTTTCATTAGTGATGATGAATTTTAGGTAGTCTGGATAAAAAATTAACAAAGACCACTTTTTAATTTTATTACATTCTAATGTTTCATTTTAATGTTTTATTTTATTTTTCATTTTTATTTTATTTTATTTATTTATTTTTTCCAATAGTGGGATCTGAACTACAGCTTGCTTAGCTTGCTTGTTCAAGGCTGGTGCTCTACCACTTGAGTCATACCTCTGGTCCTTAATACTTCATTTCTATGATAGATAGAAATAGAGTTAACTGAATGACAGACAAGATGAATAAGTTATATCATTGGATAGACAAGATCATAAACTCATCCAAAATTGAAAATATTTTCAGGAAAAAAATGCCCTTAATATATCTCACCTACCAGCAAGGAACATGATAAAATATCTATTGCTTATGATTCCAGCCACATGTCTGACTAAGAGCTGGGACTCCTAGATACTGTCCTGCATCAATAGAAAACCCCATATTGTATATTACTAGTTGGAAAAAGATTAAAAGTTGAAGTATGATATATTTAATATATTCTACTGAATATATATTGCTTCCAGACCATCATAAAGCAAAAAATAAAAGAATCACAAGTCAAATATTCATAAGCCAGGAACTGGCTAGATGGTAGATGATAGATAAGATGGAGGATACATACATGCATGCATACATATATACATACATACATGCATACATACATACATGTAATATAAGATAACAAATGAAAAGAAAAATTTATTTTTAGAGATTGGTTCACTCAATTTCTATGCTAAAAATTTTCACCCTCCATCGTGTGCAAGCTGAAAAGCAGCAAAGCCTGTAGTATTATTCAGTCCAAGTATGAAGGCCTGAGAAGCAGGAGAATTGTCAATATCAATTCCAGTCTGAGGGGAGAAGAAAACAGGTGAGGTATACCAAGAGACACATTTCTGCTCCTTCTGCTTTCTGTTATGGTCAGGCCTTTAAAAGATTGATGGCATTGTACCTTATTGAGCCTCTGATTCAGACGATAATCTCATCAAGAACATCTCACAGACCCACCCAAAAATCATGAGGATCTGGGAAACACTGTGACTCAAGTTGACACATAAAGTTAGTCTTCATAAACAGTTTTGTCAAAGATAGAGAAGAGAGCAGGAGTAGCCATGCTGTCCAGGCTGAGAGGAGCAGCTGGTAAAGGACATGGAATCAGATTACTCCTTCACTTTTGAAGATCAAAGCAGTGACAAAAAGAAAAGTTGCCCATAACTGTGCAGGAGAAGGAGAGAAGAATTTCTGGAGTGGATTTCTTAAGTAGATGAAGGGTCTGGCATGGAGACTCCATTTTAGATCAGAGCACCTTGGTAACAGGTAGGAAGGCAGTATGCAGGTTCAGCTCATAGAAGGTGAGTAGAGGTGCAAGAGGGACAAGAATCCTTAAGTTTTCTTTCCTTATTTTTTTTTGAGAGACGGTCATTTCTCAGAAGCCCAGTAGCCCAGTCTGGCCTCAAATTTGCAGTTTTCCTGTCTCTAACTTCCAAATACTGAGATTACAAGTATGTACTACCACACCTGGCAAACTCAAAATGTTTAGCATTACCATTGCCAGAAACTAAACAGCATAAAGAAATAGTGTATAGTGTATCTCACTACTGCATGTAAACCTCATCTATACTCACCTGAAAATAAAAAATATTCTCAGCAGTAAAGAATTTCAAAAGAGATTATCTCCTACTTGAGGAAGCAAGAAAGGCATTTATGGAGAAGGAAAAATTCAAATATACTTTAGATCTCTCATTACAATCTAATCGCTCTATGGTCAAGAAGATTTATCATCTTTAAAAATAAAAAAAAGACACAAAAATAAACCTTCAGAATGAGAACATATCTTGACAGATATGCCTGGAAAGATCCCAATGAATCTTTTGCTTAATAAGGGTTTATATATTGACATAGTGTGTTGAACTAGTTATTTCTTCATTTCAAAACAATTGTGTTCAATCTACTATTATCACACCACACCATATTGGTGAAAACAAAATATCAGTTTCATTTCAGCAATAGTTACAACAGCCACCCTCTCTTGAGTGACTGCTAGGTTCTAAGAACTGGGATAAGCACTTTGCAAACAACTCAGTTTTAATACAATAACAATTATTTGAGTAAATATTAGCCCTGTCTTATAGAAGAGTGATTTAGACTTGTGCTATTTAAGTTACGTTACACAGGTAGTGTAAAATCTGGGATTGTATTTTAAGTCAGTGCGTAGCTTTAGCTATGCAACATTTCTGATCGGTTGCATTCTAAGAAAAGCATCGTCAGAAGATTTCATCTGGTGAACATTGCAGCCCTATATAGTACAGATCAGTCACTAGACACGGGTATTTGAGGCTGCTGGAAACATAACATGGTATATGTTTTAATAGTGAATTTATTTTTAAAAGTTCATAGACCATACTCTAAAATGTACAGTCCATAAACCATTAATATATTTATTGCCATTACTCATGATGATGATTAATATCTCTTTATTATATTTTATTGTCCTTACCATTACCATTCAATAAATCCATTTATAAATACAAAACATCTTGATAAATGTCACCTCTTTCATCATTAAATCCAGGTGTGTTTTGTCCCTGTGTATTCCTACAGCTGTCAGATGCCACCTAGTGACCAAAGATTAGAATATACTTGGAGCACTCAGTTTAATAGAGCACTGAACATAGTTTGGATCAAAATGTTCTTGTTTCTGAAAATTCACCATTTGCTTAACTTTTCCCAAGAAATTTTATTACACAGAATAATAATAACAATGATAGTTTGGGTCTGGAAATGTGGCTTAGTGGTAGAGTGCTTGTATAGCATGTATGAAGCCCTGGGTTCAATTCCTCAGTCCACATGAACAAACAAACAAACAGAAGCCTGAAATGACACTGTGGCTCAAGTGGTAGAATGCTAGCCTTGAGCAAAAACAAGCTCAGGAAGCCAAAGCAAGCTCAGGGACAGTGCACAGGCCCTGAGTTCAGTCCCTAGGACAGGAAAGAAAAAAAAACACCAACAACAAAATAATAGCTTGTGTGAAATATTTAACACTATCCATTCCTGTCATTTTTTTTTAATCTGGCTTTCAAAAAGCACCTAAATTTTATCACTTCATGTGCTGGTATTACTTGATTAAATCAAAGTCAAACTTTTCCTGATAATAATGGTTTTCAAGGTGGTTATGGTAGAGTATAGAATAATAAGGAAAAGGAAACTGAGAGACTTCATTGTTATATGCCATGGCACTTGTCCTAATTTTAGTATATGTTCAATATTTGAAGTTTAGATACATTCAATATTATGTCTTTCATGGCTTAGGAATCATTTTATCAAAACTAAAATTACAAAAAGTTATCCAGTGTCAAGCTTTCATTCTTCAGTCTTATTTCCAAGACATCATCAATACCTACTATACTAAAGGCAACAGAAAGACAGCCTCCATCCTCCTCATGGTACCTCCTCCCTCAGACACCATCACGGACTGCAAACAGCAGCCAGGAAGACACATTTACAGCCAACTCACAGTGAAGGACTGAGCGCCAGCTCCAAGCGCATGATTACGGGCACCCACTAATGCCTGTAACTATTTCCTTCAGGTTCTACTGTTGGGAAAGCTTGTTAATAATCCCACTTGGCAATAATTTGGAGTGATTCTCTTCATTCTTTACCACTCAATTACACTATTATTTTTGCCATATAGGTGATGCTGATTATTCTTGAATAAACTGTAGACTAAAATTTGAAGTGTTTTCAGTAAAGTTAAGGACAATTTTTCCCATTTTTCCCATCTTCCCCTTTTTACATAAATTATCATATTCCAGTGTGCTGCGTTATTATATATTAACATCTTCAGTAATGCAGTGGTAAATATTGTTTTCTTGCTAGAACTTGTTCAGAATAAGCATGTTGTATAGGGGTTTTGTATTTGTTGTAGTCACAAAAAAATTGAATTCTCACTGTCATCTTTTCAGTTATTTGACTTAAAAAAATAAAGCAGCATCTTGATTTCTCCATGGGTATTTGTAGTTCTTTTTTCTGGTACTGGGGTTTGAATTCAGGTTTTATGTTTATTCCGCTGCTTGCTTGACCAGCACTCCACCACTTGAGCTCCATCTCCAGCTTGGTTTTCCCTACATTCCTTTAACATCAATTCCATTCTTTCTCTTCATGAAGAGTTAAGTAGTCAGATGATTCTGTTTGTTGGACCTTTTATAATGTGTTTACGTTTCCCTTATACTGCAAAGAAAAAAATACTGCACGCTTCTCTGTTTATAGAATGTTGAGGGTCGTTTTTTTTCTTTTTGTATTTTCCTCTTACATCCTATATCTTGAAATTTCCTGAGATGACAGAAACTGATTAAATTAAATTAGGTATTGCTTCTAATTTTGTATGTACATATATGTGTGTGTGTGTGTATATATATATATATGAAGAGTTTATGTCAATAAGCCAAAATTTTGATGACAGAAAACTTTTGTAAAACATGTGAATGCAAGTCATACAGAGTCCATCTGGCAGAAAAAAAAAAGATGTTCATGTGTTCAGCGAGGCTTGGAAAGAAAGTCACACATCAAACAGCTGAGCGAAATGGGTCAGATCTGGGTGCTTTGTAAGGCTTCTTCTGAAATTCTGTATCTCTATGGGTGGCTGACACACACACTCACACACAAAAAATTTCATCCCACTGAGTTTTTCTCTTAGATGCCAGTATGGTTAGCGATCCAGTCCCGGACAGCAGTCACTCGAGTATACACCCCAGGCTTGTTGGGTTGCCCACATTCATCTCCCCAGCTCACTATTCCAGCAAGGTACCAGACATCTCTAGCATCTGAACTGACAAGTGGTCCTCCAGAGTCGCCCTAAAAGAAAAGGGAAAGGTGAGCAGTTCAGAGTTCAGTTCCCCACAGAAGGCATTATTCTAAGTTAAGAATGTAATGAATATGGTGATTTTCAAAAGCCTTCAGTGTGCCTGAACACAGAAGTGTTTTCCTTTGTGTATGTCAGCTGTATAAAGGAGGAGGTCAGACACTGGAAGGATGGACTCAGTCTCAGGGTTGAGTATGCTGAGACTGGAGAGCAGTCATCTTAATTTATCTGACTCATCAGATAAATAGCTCCCTATATAAGATGCCTCCTGAATAGCACAGCATTATTCACCAGAACAGGATGGATTGCTGATAAGGAGCACAGACATTAGAGTCAGACACCTGTTTCAATATTTAGTTCAGTCTTTCCCAGTTAAGTAAAGCCTTTAATTTACCTATCTATAAATGTTCTGAATAATATGTGTAATGACTATCATGAAGTTTTAGTACCACACTGAATGTAAAGCTTAGCACAGAGCAAAACCTAGAAAGTACATATATAAACCCACAGATACCAGTATTTTCTACAGGTCATAAAACAAGGCACTATCTGCCCATCTCACAAGATCCTAGGCCTTAAGGTACTGACCAGCCACATGTATTTAGAATTCTATGAAGCTCTTAATTAATTAACATGCTGTTGCATGAAGTTTTGAACTCAGAGCTTGTATTTGCAATGTAAACACCCTGCCATTAGTCATACCCCCAGCTCTGTTTTTGTTTTTTTATTTTTTAATCTTTTGTTACATTTTTTGGTTTAGAGTCTTACCCTTTGTGCAAAAGCCAGTCTCAGAACACAATCTTCCTACCTATTCCTCCAGAGTACCAGGGATTTCAAGAAAGTCTGAAATCCATGACTGACCCTCATGCAAATCTTTCAGCAAAACATAGAATTAAGGTTGTATTTTTTCCAGGTTATCAGTAAAGAAATTGAAACACAGAGAAATTAACAATTTATCTTAGATCAGTGGCAGACCCTGGGTTGGAATCCAAACAGTGTAATTCAAAAGTTCATGTTTTCCCCACACACATTATACTGATTTCCTGGTAAAAATTTCTCTTACTCTTTTAAAACACTAATACCATCAGTAGATGAATGTGAAATAAGATGTTTGTAATTTCAAAATAAATTAACTGATATACATTTGCTGATACCACTATATGATGTGGGAAATATAAAATGAGTATAAGCACATGGGCCTTGATTTTAGAGTCTATGCTCTACTTACCAGAAATAAGATGTACCATATAAAGCAATTTTGCAGTAATAATTTTGATCATTAGAATCCAAACCCATATAGGGGCATAAAGAGAAAATTCAGAGAAAAGAGTTTCCAGATAATGATTTAAATGGAGGCAGCACTTCCCATCTACTGAACCATGTAGAAGAAAGAGAAACTATAAAACTACTTCTTTGAGTTGCTAGGGAAATTAGAGCAGGTGACACAGTGGTCTCCATTCTCCCAACATCTCATGGTGCTTCTCCTGTGCACCATCTTGAAAATGATGCAGAAGGACCCTGAGAGAGATTTTAGAGGTTGCAGGTTATGTACACACCAAGTGCATCATCAGATTCCCCAGGAGAACGGGGTAGAGTAGTAGAGTATGAATGACTGGGACTGCTTCAGTCCTAGCTCCCTATAGGAAACTTCAGTGGCAATGTGGAAAACAAACAAAACAAAACAGAAAGCCTGGAAGAACCCCAAAGATATGGTTGACTCAAACTCACTCTAAGCTTCTTTTCTCTAAGAGGAATTAAGGACAGGACCCAGCACTTGAAGCACATTCCTCTCACAAGATAATGAGAAAAGAAAAAAGTATCAATCCTGTCACTACCTAGATGTACCTAAATATTGAGAAATCAACTGAGTATTTAATCAGAGGGGGAAAAAAGTTGATGCAGAAATCCCAAACTAGAACTATTAGCAAAATAAAGCCACAAGGAAATATGTCTCCTGTAATGGCCAACAATTTTACAGGCATAAAACTGAATGGACGAAATCTTTAATGATGAGTTCAAACATCAATCACAAGAAGGAAAAACAAAATTAAAGACCAGGGATTAGAGGCATGGCTCAGAGCATAGAGCACCAGCCCATGAGTGAATAAGCAAGCATCAGATACCGAATTTGAGTCCCCGCCTCAAACAACAATAACAACAACAACAACAATAAAATACTCAACAAGAAATGTACTCATTGCCTTCCTCATGTAACTGTAGCCCCTCTGTACAGCATCTTTACAATAAAATAATTTTTTTTAAAAATTGAAGAGATGTATAAGCACCTAGCTGAAATCAAAGAACACACGTTAACCACTTATTGAACTCAAAGAGAAGACCAAAAAACAAGGGATGAAATAAGGGAAACATACAGAGAGTATAAACAAATAATTTGACAAAGAATTTAGAATTCTGAAAACAAAAATCAAGTTGAAATTCTGAAACAGGATAAATCCAAACAAATTTATACCAAGACAAATCATAAAATTTCTGAATTCTGAAGTCAACAAAACATGTTTGAATATGGCAAGAGAAATGGCACCATCACCTGCAGGGGAAAAAATAAATCCAACAGAAGCAGAGTCAGCTCAGAAACCACATAGGACATGATTCTAGAGTTGAAAGAGAATTGTCTACCCAGATTTCCATAGCTAGCATATGCTAGCTAGCATATGCTGCAGAAATTAAGAGGAAATAAAGACTTTGACAGACAAAGGAAACTTATTAGGAGAATTTTTCCCACTACCAATCTATAGAAAGTGAATAGTAAAATGAAGCTTTTAATGCCATGAGAAATTAAAGTGTTTATGAATAAAATATTTAAAAATGAATCATTAGGGCTGGCAAGTTGGCTCAGTGGTAGAGTGCTTGCCTTGCATGCATGAGGCCCTGGGTTCAATTCCTCAGAACCACATAAGCAGGAAAAAAAAACAGAAGTGGTGCTGTGGCTCAAGTGGTAGAGTGCTAGCCTTGAGCTAAAGAGCTGAGGGACAACACCCAGTCCCAGAGTTCAGCCCCCACGACCAACAAAAAAATAAATAAATAAGTCATCAAAAAAGGAAAACTTTGGATAAACTTTCCCTTTCCTTCTCAAATTTCTCTTTAAATTATGTACAGCAGTTGAAATATAAGGTTGCCTGTGTGGTTCTCAAAATATAGAGTAAAATTCAATATTTATATTTGTTAATAGTTCTATCAAAAGGGAAAGGGAAAGAGACTTAAGAGAAGGCAAGTTTTCTATTCTACACTCCACTCAAGCTAGTAAAATGTCAATACTATTAGACCAGGATAATACGTATGTATAGATTTGTGTCCATGGAATAAACTTTGTTTTGACTGTAGTGGCAGTTAACACAAATCCACATTTTGCACCACTGTCCATTCTCAGATTTTTTTAATGTATTGTGTTTATGTAAGGTGTAGAGATTGAAAACAAAACTGAACAAAGGCTATAGATGTGACTCCTTGTTGATAGCATCACAATTTTCTGTAAGCCTGTCATTATTACTAAAAAAGTAAACAGAACATTGCATATCATCCTAGAAGGCAAATCCACTCACCTGACATGCATCTCGCTTTCCTTTTAAGGAGCCAGCACATAACATTGTGGGGGTTATGACACCATTGTAAACTTGGGGTTGATTGCAGGTTTTAGAGTCAATGAGTTCAACTTGTACTTGCCAAAGGTGATTCTGACCATAACCTAAAAGGAAGAAAGTCTTTGTGTTCATAGATAGACATACACTTTATAATTTGAAGAAATTCTTTTATTTATCCAAGAAGATGATAATAATGAATCTTAGAATAATATGTGTGTTCCACACACAGTAATATTTAGGCATAAGTTTATTTTCTTAAATAGTGAGAATAAATATTTAGGTGCCTAGGAAAGAAGATCAAGCAAGTTTCACTCCATTAAAAATTAAATGAAACTGGTAGCTCCCAACTGTAATCCCCACTACTCAGGAGGCTGCGATCTGATTGCAGTTTGAAGCTAGCCTGGGCAGAAAACTCCTAGTGAGACTCTTATCTCCAATAACCAAAAGCCAGAAGTGGGGCTGTGGTTCAAAGTGATAAAGTGCTAGCCTTGAGCAAAAGACCTCAGATACAAAGTTCAGGCCCTGAGTTCAAGCTCCACGACTGACAAAAAGAAAAAAAGTGAAAAGAAAAAAATTTGAGGTGGGGAATAGTGGCCTTATGATATCTTATCTTCACAACTCATCTTCTAAGAGGTTTAATCTCCTAACTAAAAGTTGAGTGGCTAGGTATCATATTTGCTCTTTCAGATAACTTAAAAAACATGATTAATATAACAGTGATGATGTAATTGATAGTAGATTACCACAGGAAAGATGAATGCAATCTCTAAATAACAAGAGTCTGATTTACCCTTGGTCCATATGACCAAATAACCAACATAGATGGGTATAGAAAATTTACTATGCTCTGAGTTGCTCCTTATATACCCACCATCATTTTGCAGTGCTCCAAACCCTGTCACAAACATCTCTTCCCCCGGGGGGAACTCGTGGGTTGCATCAGGGAGACAAACTCTGTGTATTTCATTTGTGTAGGGAACGGGCCTAGCAAGCTCTGCAAGTGAAATATCATAGTCATGTGATGGATATTTGTATTTTTCATGGACAATTATCCTTCGGAGGCCTGTTTTCATTTTTGAAGGTTTTATTGTTACTCCAAAGGAAGCAGTCCATCTGGTTGGATCCTTGTACCTGGAGAGAAAAACAATAAAGAATAAATTCTAGTTTACCATGCTACCAATCTGATGATTTACATGAAATAATTTTGCCTATAGGTGTCAATATGTTTTTCTTTTATTCTTTTTTTGTGTATGTGTCAGTCCTGGGGCTTGAACTCAGATCCTGGTCAGTGTCCCTGGGCTTTTTGCTCAGGACTAGTGCCCTACCACTTTGAGCTACAGTACCACTTTCAGTTTTCTGGTGGTTAATTGGAGATAAGACTTTCTGCCCAGGCTGGCTTTGAACTTTGATGCTCAGATCTCAGCCTCCTGAGAAGCTAGGATTACATGTGTGAGCCACCCGCACTTTGCCACATCTTCCTTTTTAAAATAATAGTTTCTACTGACAGAAGTAATTATTTTATAATCTAAGAACCATGCTCATGGTTGGAATTCTGTTAGGTTATGCATACTACTTTACATGACAAGCCACCTATTCCAAAGCCTGGGTTTTTTGGACATTTGGGGACATGAATGATTACAAGGACATATGGAAATACGATATTGTACAGAATGAGAAAACTAAATATAGTCCATTCACTTATATCCTCTACCAAAAGTCTTAAATTTTTTTCTTTGAAAAATAGAGGCCTCAGAACAATTTAACAAAGTGTTTCTACTGTATGCACTGGAGATATTTGGCACTGGGTTGAAAATCTACCATTCCTTACAATAATACTAGCTAATCTAGTCACTTGTATAACTTATCATTTCTAATTCCATCATTGTCTAACAGGGAATTCCCCACTGAGATCAAACCTACAACCGCCAGCCTTTATTTCTTACACAGATAGTAAGTGAATAATGAACTCTTCTCATTCACATCAAGCTCCAAAGGTAACTTTAAAATTCTCACTTTCTTTGACAAATTAATGTGTGTATGACAATGTGCATTACTGTTGAATAATGTGCATTGGTACCACCTCAAATCGAAAGCAGAAAACCTCTCACTAAATTTTCTGAGAGTCCCCATTCCCTCTGTGATAAGCATGTGATCTTCATTTTATGTTAAACTCACCCGTCTCAAAATTCTTAACATATTTCATAAACATATAGTGGAAAACACAATATACTTTGTTCACCTCGAGTCCTCCTCCAGGTGTAGGACTTACGTTCGAAAGCAATGAGCAGCGCTCACAAGCCAGGTGTTACTGATTAACGTTGCTCCGCAGCGATGGGCCCCATCCCATTGCAAGCTGGCCTGCCAAGGCCATTCTCCCTCTTCTACCTGCGTCCCACCAACAATTCTGAGACTTTCTTTGGTAGATTTACTCCTCCTGGTCCCACAGCCTGCCATCGACAGATAATGCATTGACTAGCAGTTGTTTCAAACATCAATTTGTTATTATATCATAAATTCTTTTGTTATGCTCTTATAGGATCAAACATTTCTATGTTTCCTTCATTTCTATAATCCCTGACATTTAGTTCGTTAACTCCTATTCATCTTGGAAAGGTTTAAATTACACATTATCTTTCCAATGATATCTCCTTTATTTCCCTGCTTCTAAACTGCATTACTTATGCCTTCCTTGATGCAATAATAATAATAATAAATACAAATTTGCTGTGTGTGGTTGTGTGTATGCATTTTGTCCTCAAATTTTTTATAGTAGAGTTTCTCAATCTTGGCACCATTGATATTTTGAGCCATACAATTCTTTGTTGTAGGCTGCTGTCCTGTGCATCATAGAATATTTTATAATATGCCAGGTCTATAAATGCTAACATTCTCAAATACAATCATGACAAATCAAACAAACAAAAACACTGCAATAAGGCATGGTACCTTGTGTGATAAAATAGCCCTTAACTGAGCATCATTCATTTAGAATTGTGTGCTTGTGCTTACGTCTCATAGTGAGTAAACTTTTGTAGGAAAGAATTATATCTAATCCATTTTGCATGTTGCATCCTTATCAACTCTCACAGTAAAAGAACATGGTAAATTTCCAATAAATATTAATGGAAATAATATATGCTATTTAAATAATGGAATTATACCTTAGCTCCATGCTTAGTTAAGATTTTAAGTTGATCAACGTGTTAAGGTGGTAAGCAGCACATTCCCTTCCATGTTTTAAAGCCAGGTATAGTATGTACTGATTCTGCAAGTATTAATGTATTCTTTGCGACATGGGGGCCGGGGGGGGTGGGTGGGAAATGTTCTGCTATAGAAGAGGGAAGGAGTGTAGAGTCAGCACTTTTGAAAGATTGTGAAAGATATTTTCTGGGCCCTCTGTAAAGTCATCAAAATACTTCAATCCTATAACTCCCTGAAATTTCCACATTTTAAAATTGATAACATCAAGATTTTATTTAGAGTAAACAACAGAAGTTTTTGACTGCAGCTTAGAATTATATAGACATACAGAGTACTTTTTTAGTGGTGGTGATAACAGAACTGGGGTTGAACTAAGGGCCTGGGCACTGCACCTGAGCTTTTTGTTGTTGTTGTTCTGTCTCTCTCTCTGCTTCTCTGTCTGTCTCTCTGTCTCTCTCTGTCTCTGTCTCTCTGTCTCTCTCTCTCTGTCTTTCTCTGTCTCTCTCTGTTTAGTGCTCAACTGAACCACAGCTCCATTTCCAGCTTTTTGGTTGTTAATTAGAGATGAGAGTCTCATGGACTTTCTTGCTAGGGCTGCTTTCAATGATCCTTAGATCTCAGTCTCCTGAGTGGCTAAGATTACAGGTATAAGTTACCAGTATCCAACAAAAGTATTTTTCTATATCTTTATGAGATACCATAGATATCTGCAAGTAGGAAATTAAATAAAAGAGCAATTACACCTCTTTTTTAACCAGTTGATCATCTTATTTTCTAATATTCATGGCCACAGACACCTGCACATCCACTCTGGAATTTTCCCAGTTTTGATAGTTTTGTGTGTATGGGTTAATATTGGGGCTTAAACTCAGGGCTTTCCTGCTCTATTGCTTAAACTATACCTCCAGCACAGCTTTTTTCTGCTTAATTAGAGATAGAGTTCATGGACTTCTTGGCTTGAGCTAGCTTCAAAGCAAGATCTTCCGATCTCAACCTCCCAAGTAAGATATAATTATAGGCATGTACCTAGTACCCTGCCCAGTTTTGCTGCTTTTAATGTTCAGTTGTGCCTGAGAGAAGAGCTAAAGCACCATGAGCTGTACACAAGCTGATCCAAGTTTATTCTGTCTTGTGTGTTATTGTGTTACAATAACACAAAGTACGTGTATATTATAAACAGTGTTTCCTTTTATACATTCAGGAAAAGCAACCTTAATAAATATTTTTAACTTACAATTGTTGAGGTACTTGTCTGTTTCTGTCCTGTTGATTTCTGCAACATACGGAAATAGTAAGTAGAAGAAAGTTAGCCAATCTGAATTAGACTAAGAAAAACTGAGTTTTTCAAATACAAATAGTTGCCAAATTCTGTTACAGTATCTCTGGGTAGTGTGGTAAGCAGTATAATTAGTCATGGACATAGTAGTTTCATTTTTCTAGGGAGGAGAGGCAACAATAAACAGAGTGGACAAGAGTCATATAGGAAGCATATGGATAATGTAAAATATGGTGACCTTTCCCAATAATTCTGATACACTAATTTTGTGTTGACATGCAAGAATATGTACTGTACACCAAGAAATAAGTACAGGTAGTCCCCTTACTCTTTGGGGGAAAATATTGGTCTAAACTGTAGCGTTGGTTCCTAAATGTAATGATATTTTATTAGCCCTTACTTCTAATTATTTTATTAAGCTCATAAGCATCATCTCACTTGAATTAGCCCTCAATCATATTTTATAAATCATGGTATTCCTAGCTCTTACTGTTGAAAGACGTAATGTGCTTTCAACGTACCATGTAACTCGAGCCAATGACTCTAGCATTTTACCTTCTCAGCAGTCATATCCTAGTCCTATACAAACACTACTCCAAACAAAAATGTAGAAAACTATTAAGTTCTCATGTTTCCTGAATATTAATAGATATCCAATAGGCAACACTATTATTTTTGAACATGTATGGAACAATGAATGTCCTAAATGAAAAACTATTTATATGATAGTTTATCTTTTAGTATTTACTAGCATTGATTTGCTAGAAATTTGTATTCTAGAAATTCTTCTTTCTAATCTTCTTCATCTAGCTATTTGTGAGGAAAAGGACAAACATGAGGAAGAATTGATCATGTAGCTTCAGTTACTATTTAAGAGACTTAATAGTCTCTACTTCAAGTAATCTATCATATTCTTCTCTACCTCGTTTTCATAGAGAAAAGTCTGGCTTAATATGTTAATTCTTCTCCCAAGGAAGCAAGGTGCAACCCAACTGACTCACACTACCCATATTTTTGAACTTCATTGTTGCTGCTTTAAAATTCCTAATAGTTTATCTTGTTATTTATTTACTTACTTATTTATTGTTGATCATGGGGCTTGAGCGAAAGGTCTGGGTGCGCTTTTTCACTCAAGGCTAACACTCTACCCCTTTGAGCCACAGCACTACTTTCAGTTTTCTGGTGGTTAATTAGAAATAAGATTCTCATGGACTTTCCTGCTTGGTCTGTCTTCGAACCTGGATCCTCTGATCTCAGCCTCCTGAGTAGCTAGGATTATAGTCATGTGCTACTGTACCAGGCTAAGGTTATCTCGTTATCTAATGTTATCAAATGTAATCTTGCTATCTAATGTTATCTTGTGATTTATGTTTTGAAAATGTTGTTCAATAGGCTATGGTGTGAGCAGTGGAAGCACATGGTCTTTGTGTGTCTACAGTTATTAATCATACCATTTGCATACGCCATTCATGTAGCTCTTCAAAATAAGGATCTGGAGAACCCATAATGTGTGGCAGCATAGCCACACAGTGACTAGAACATAAATGTGATACACCTACCACTCAGCAGGGAGGGGAGGGGAGTGAAGGGAAGGGAAAAGGAGAGGTGGGGAGGGGACACTGACAATTCCAGAAGGTCCTGTTTTCTATCTGTACCCAGAAAACAGCAAAGGCGTTCTTACCATTGCCTTTCTCATTCTTATGTGTACTATGTATATTAAGGAGTGGTTTTTTTAACTGAAAATGACATAGGCAAGGGAATACTAACAAAATACAGAGTTCCTTTTCCATTCAGTCCTTTCCTGCTCATTAGTAGTTTGGAGTTAGTTAAGGTAGAATGCACCTAAATTGAGACGATACATAAAAATAGACAACTTAGCTCTCTGAAGTATTTTCATTGCCTGGCAACAAAAATAATATACAATTTTCTTTTTAACATCTATTGGAGATAAGTCCCAGGAAACCCTGTGGATACTAAACTCCATTGATGATCAAAAATGGTTTAGTGTTTGTATATAACCTACAGTGTCTCTCCCATACACTTTAAATCATCTCTAAGTTCATTGCAACACCTAATATAAATGTAAATGTAAATTCTATATAAATTGTTGTTATACTATTAAAGAAAAATGACAAGAGTCTGTACATGTTCAGTACACATGCATTTTCCATATTATATAGTATATACACTTGTGTATATACATGTACATATACATATATGTGCATTTATTATATACATGCATGTATATATACTATATAGACATACATACATACATATACATATATACATACATATACATATATTTGAACTCAGGGCATTCTGCTTGCTTTGTTTGCTTGCTCCGCTGGCACTCTACCACTTGAGCCATGCTTTCTGCTCAGTATTTTTAATGGTTAATTAGAGTTAAGAGTCTCTCAGACGCTTCAACCTGGGCTGGCTTCAAACGTGAGTCCTCCAGATCTCAGCCTCCTCATCTCCAGGATTATAGGCATGAACCACTGGCACCTAGCTTCCATATTATTTTGTTTTCAGATATATTTATTTGAGTTCATGCATGTGAAAGTTCTGAATGAAACAATTTCATGCCTCTACAAACAAGTGGAGCTTGTTTTCATCTGCTTTTAAAATTGTCACTGGAAGGTGTAATGTTGACCAATAAAACTGTGCTAGTGATTTTATACTTAATTTTTTTTCACTTTGCAAATTAGTGAATAAAATTACTTTGATTAGCAAATGAAAATGTTGAAACGTTGAAAGGCCAGGGAAAATGGAAAATATCTTTTGAATAGTACTACAGTACTATTGCGGACGGGGGACAGAGGGTTGGATACAATACCTGACATTTTCTTTTTACATTGGAAAATGCAACCTCTGTAGTAAACAAAGCAAACCCCTACTTCAGACTTTGCAACTCTAGTTGTAAAATATATCAGCTAGAAAGTACAAGTAGTATTTTTTCATTGACAAGTGTTCTAAGAGAAGCTATAAACAAGGTATATTAATGGTACTCAAAAATAAGTGGGTGAGTGGCTGGCCCTTTTCATTGATTCTGCTCTCAGAACATAACATGGAAGCAACAGCAAAAAGAAGGATATGCAAAGCCTGATTATGTTAGTTTCTGTAGCCCAAGTCTAAAGTCCAGTATAGAACCTTCCCAGGAGTTCATGACAAGCTTACTTAAGAGGCATATGCTAGAGCACTTAGGAGCAGGGTCTCAAACCCATAATCCTAGATATTATTGAGGAGGCAAAGATAGGGGGATTGCCATTTGAGGCCAGTAAGACATAGAAGTTTGTAAGACTCCATCTCAACCAGTGGCACACACCTCTGAAATACAATGACAATGTGTGTGTGTGTGTGTGTGTGTGTGTGTGTGTCATCCCCAGTGACACAGGAAAGCACAAGTTAAAGGATCATAGCCCACAATGGCAGAGTATAGATCCTACCTTGAAAACAATCAATTCAAAGAGGGGCTAGAGGTATGACTCAAGTGGTAGAGCACTTGCCTAACAAGTGTGTGCATTGAGTTTAATCTCCAATACCATCAACAAAATGACAAAAATTAAAATACTTCATTTGGAATAATTCAGTTTCAAAGCAATGACCTGCTAATAGTAATTTTTTGTTGTTACTGTTGCTGTTTTTGTTGTCTTTTCCTTTTGTCATGTAGTGTATTTGTCTTTGCAAGGGTAAGTGAGGCACAGAAAAGGTGGGACAGAGGGTGAACAAATACAGCAGTGGTAATCACTAAACGCTATGTAGAAAATGAACTGTACAAGTTGTAGGCAGATGTGGGAGGGAAAAACTTGGAGAGAGTGAAAGAAATGGTGACATTGTTCAAGAAGAAATGTACTCATTATATGACTTACATAACTACAACCCCTGTGCACATCATCTTTACAAGAACAATGAAATACATGTTTTAAAATTTTTAGATTCAAGTAAGGTAGTGTACACCTGTGATTTCAACTACTCCCTACTTAAGAGTCAGAGATTTTGAGGATTATGGTTTGGGGCAAATCCAGAAGAAAAAGATAGTAAATCTTTACATGGTGTTATGAGTAAGTTTTGTATGGTGTTATGAGTCTATAATCCCAGCTACAATAGAGGCATAAAATCAAGGACCAAGGCCAGACCTGAGTAAAAACACAGACCCTATCCAAGAAGTACCAAAGCAAGGGGTAGAACTTACAAGTGGTAAAAAATTATAGGCTCAATTGGTAGAACACTTGCTTAACAAGCACAAGACCTTAGTTTAAGCCATCAGTACTGGGGGAAACAAAGTCAAAAGTAAAATGAATGCCCAAATCTAACATAGAAATAGACAAAATTTAAAAAGGAAACTTACTTTTAATTTTAACTGAGTCAGGATGAACTTCAGGAGGTCCTTCAACATTATGCAACTTTTCATGTAGAATATATTCAATAATTTTATTTACATTTTCAGGATCCTCAGTAGAGCGAAATCTAAATATCAGCAGCATATGAGCCACCACGCCATGATTTTCTTGACTGAATCAAACAATAAAAACAAGAAAAGAAAAGGAGAAAGGAGGGAAAGAGAGAGAGAGAAAAGGAGGAAATGAGGAACTTGATCACAACCGAAGGTTTTTTTTCCTTTATCATTTATTTGAAAATGCAAACAAAGCCAAATACATTTTCTGTAGTCCTGATGTTTCCTATGTACAAAACCCCCAATTCAAACACCCTGACAGAAAGGTAGCATGTTCATTCTCTTTCCACCAAAAGATTAATTTTAAAAAAAGATGTGTATCTTGTCAAATAACATATAATAATATATTTTATGCTCTTTATGTACTTAACATGTATATAAAAACAATGTATTTATATATATATATATATATATATAGTATTCTAAAGTTGTATATTTAGTGGCAGATCCTCTTAGCTACATATTTGGGGCATAAAGATATAGAATAAAAAATAATGAGGGGTGATCACTTCGGCAGCACATATACTAAAATTGGAACAATAAAGAGAAGATTAGCATGGCCCTTGTGCAAGGATGACATGCAAATTCGTGAAGCGTTCCATATTTTTAGACCAGACTAAAGCTACCAGCACAACCATGTTTATTGCAGCATTATTTACCATAGCTAAGATATGGAACCAACCCAGATGCCCCTCAGTAGATGAATAGATCAAGAAAAGATGGTATATATACACAATGGAATTCTTTGCCTCCATTAGAAAGAATGACATTGCTGCATTTGTTAGGAAATGGAAAGACTTGGAAAAAATTATATTAAGTGAAGTAAGCCAGGCCCAAAGAAACATAGGCCCCATGGTTTCCCTTATTTGCAATAACTAGTATATGTCTGAGACAAGCAGAAAAGGTCAGATAAGACGATGTTAAGTGAAATGAACCCCAAGATAGAGACACAAGTGGTTTTTTCTTGCTTGCTATTGGTTCTAACATATTTATAAGGTACCATATGATTTTTTTGTTGCTTTGTCTGTCCCTCCCTTATGGTATAACCCCTGTTTTCACTGTATTTAATATTGGTATAATTTGGGGAGGTGAAGGGAAAAAGCAAATTGTTTAAATAGGGATACAGATTGACCCACTGCAACAATGAGATGTACAATATGCTATGTCACAAAACAAACTTTACAATTTACGTGATGGGGGGGAGAAGGGGTATGGGGGTGTAGCTGAGGAGGTAAGAGGACAGGGATGGTAGGGGAAAAACAGAGGAGGCAACAATGCTGGATAAGAAATGTACTCATTATTTTGCTCATGTAACTGTAACCCCTCTGTACAGTATTTTCACAATAAAAAACTTAATTTAAAAAATTAAATGTAAAAAAAGAATTAAAAAGCAAGTATAAATTTTGAAGCATTTCTAATTCTAATGATTTATAAATAAAACAAGAATAAGTATAAAATAAGAAATAATGTGGGGGGAAACAGGTGAAAATGAGGGAGAGGGTAACACTGTTCACAAAGTAATATACTCATGACTTTACCTATGTAGCTGTAACCCTTCTGTACAATACCTTTACAATAAAATTTAAAAATAAATAAATAAATAAATCATGAAAACGTATAAAGAGGTGAACCAAGAACTAAAGACAAATCTCCTTTACTAAGCTACTTTCCATAGAGCTAATTCACTAAGGGATTTCTGTTAGATCCCTATAGCATGCCTTTCCCTAGCCAGTATCTTGAGAAATGCTTACTTTCCGATTTATACAATGAGTGAAGCACATGGTAACAGAGAGCTTCATATTTGTCAGATGAATTTAATCATGTCATGAGCTCTTGAAAATGTGTGCATTACTGGCCATATGAAGATATTTTAGGTCTACATACCTGAATTTGATTATGTGAGACTTCACAAGTTCTCCTTGTAATGGAAATCTAGAAAATGCATTTTTCACCTGTTCAAAAAAATACCCAAAATAAGTCAGTAAGAAGCAGTATTCTGAAATTTGCAAGTTAATTCAAAGCCCAAGGGACAACGATAATAGGAGACAAAAGTGAAAAGCACTGACATTGCACAATGTGTTGAACTTCAGGAATCTTTCTTGGCAATCGACCCAGTGTTGTGAACTGAACTTCACTTTAGAAATAAAGGACCTGGGTAGTCAAATGAAGTGAGGGAGCAATACAATCACTAAAAATCCCAATGAATATTGTACAAAATTAAGAAAATTGAAGGTTGGAAAGGCTGGGGAAGAATGTTGAAAGGGGTAAACTGTGATCAAGATGCGTTGTATTCTTAAGCTGATTTGGTGAATGGTAACTCCAACTCCTTTGAAGAACTACTTAAAGATTTAAAGATATTTTAAAAAACAAACATTGTACATAATAAGGAAGGAAAGAAGGAAGGAAGGAGGGAGGGAGGGAAGGAAGGAAGGAAAGAAGGGAGGAAAGGAGGGAGGGAGGGAGGGAGGGAGGGAGGGAGGGAGGGAGGGAGAAAATGGAGGGCCTGGAAGCCTATGGGAACCCACAGGGCCACCTGCTATTACCACTCAGAAAGACATCAAAGAAAATGAAGGAGCTCTCTCTTAACAAGTCAGATTAAATTCTTGGACCCCAGAAATAGAGAGTCTAACTGCAAGTATCTAAAGGAAATGAGATATTTCTTGAAGGAATAGCTGGATTGTAGAAACAAGCACACAGAAGTGTCACATGGTCCTAAAGGCAAACTTGCTGAATGTCCTAACATGTGACCCAGCTCAGCAGTGCAAATGCTCTTAGAAGTGCCCATGATAGCCGGGCACCAGTGGCTCACACCTGTAATCCTAGCCACTCAGGAGGCTGAGATCTGAGGATCATGGTTCAAAGCCTCCCTGGGCAGGAAAGTCTGCGAGACTCTTATCCCCAATAAACCACTCAGAAAACCAGAAGTGGTGCTGTGGCTCAAGTGGTAGAGTACTAGCCTTAAGCTAAAGAGCTGAGGGACAGCATTCAGGCCCAGAGTTCAAGCCCCATGGCCAACAAAAAAACAAAGAAAAAAGAAATGCCCATGATTCAAGGTAGTTAACTGCATCTCTGAAGTTCATCCTAGTAAAATGAGGGATATATTTTGTGATAACATTTATTATTGCAATAAATACAAATTTTAGTGAAATTAACTTTTATAGATAGGAGTTCCAGTAAGCAAATATTTCAATGGTTTCTTGTTTTCAGTGTGTGTGGATGGTTACTAAACACAGTTGCTACAAGCTGATAATTGATTAACAGAGAAATGAGTTTTTTTATTCCTTAATATTTTATTGTTTCCTAAGCCTTCATGCCCTGAAACAGACCTTATAACTATGAGAAAAATCAACACATTACAAATAACTCCTCTAAATAGTTATTTTCTTGAATAGTTATTTTTATTTCTTGATATTTATTTATTGAATAGTTATTTTACTTAAACATGGATTTTTAAAGTCATGACTTTAACTTAAAATAATTTAAATGACTTTTAAACACATTTTTGAAAGTAGTGAAGAGCCCTACCTATTATATTCCTTTAGATTTAAATCAATCAGGATATTATAAAATTAATTTTGACAAATGTACAAAGAAAAAGGGAAATGGCAGCATTTTTTTTCTTGACTTGTTAAGTCCCAGTCCCTTTCTTTACATTAGATATGTATCTAGTCCTAGAGGAAAGCTTTTTTATACATTTATCTGATTTGCTGTCTGCAAGTGCAAGTATAATCAGGACTTGTCCTCCTCCTCAGCAAGGTAGCCAAGCTCTCCGGCTCCTCATTGCAGTTTCTAGAAGAATCAATTTCTGGAGAGCAGTAGCAATAGTGCTCTGGATTCAATCTGGTTTGAATGTCTCCAGATGCTTCATGCATTGAAATTTGATCCTCATGGTGAGGTATTCAGAGGGTGGAAATTTAATCTGATTATGAGATTTGAGGTGAGGCATTTAAAAGGTGTTTAGGATTAGATAAGGTCTTGAGGGTGGAGCCCCATAATTGAACTCTGGTGACTACATAAGAAGAGAGAGCAGAGGAGGCTCACGTACACAAACACACACACACACACACACACACACACACCCTGTCTTTGCTCTGGGTCATCTCAGGAGTCTCTCACAAAGAAAGCCATCAGAGCTAGCTGTTTGACTTTCCACCTCTAGAACTTTGAACCACCATAAACCTCCTTTGCTTTATAAAATAGCCCAGATATGTCATTATAAGAAGGGGGGAAAACAAGAACAATACAGACTTCTTCCATTCTGCTCTGCTTCAGGATATTAGACTTGGAAAATAATTTGTAAATTATATAATTTGACACCTTAATTTTCATATAAGGAAATTTATTCAGAATGATAAAATGATGTGCAAAGTCAAATTTAAGGAAAAAAACGACCACTAGTTTGTAGATGGTGTTAGATTAATCCCTGATTCTTTTCTTATAATATAAACAAATTATTATGAAAATTACCTGGAAATTCCAGCTACTCTTTAATCTGATAATAAAAAGACTTCATCACTCAGACACTTGTTTGGGGGATGGGCACACTGCTAATTTTTTTCAAATTTCTTAAATATTAGATTCATCTTCCCATAGAAATGTTGATGCTGGGGCTGGGAAGTTGGCTCAGTGGTAGAGTGCTTGCCTTGCATGCATGAGGCCCTGGGTTCAATTCCTTAGCACCACATAAGCAGAAAAAGCTTGGCGCTGTGGCTCAAGTGGTAGAGCACTAGCCTTGAGCTGAAGAGCTGAGGGGTAGTGCCCAGGCCCAGACTTCAAGCCCCACAACTGACCAAAAAAAAAGAAATGTTGATGCTTTAAACCTAAACATGAATCTCTTGTAGCCTCATGAACCAAGAACTGGTTCAGAGTTATAAATTTGTAAAGCTAAAATACAATTTATGTAAGTAGCAAACAGTTTCGATCTTGAAAACCTTCTGCTCCAGATCTTTAAGAAGCTAGGAGACAACCACCTATTTTTGCAGGGGGGAGGGAAAGGGGGTGGCATCCTCACATTCCCAGAGTTTATGAACTTGACTGATCAAGAACATTACAAGCACTTTGCAAAGCACCTTTGCAAAGTATATTCTTCTAAGTCATGTATTGTCAGTTTGGTTTTAAATCCCTAAAAGATGGCCTCTTACTTTTTGCAATGATCATCAGTTGGATGGACATGACAGAAAATGCCCCAGGCATAGAGAAGCAACTACTTACCATGGATTCAATTCTATGGCTCATTTCTGTGAAATTTTTAGAAGCCTCTCTTCCAAACTCAGCATATAATTTGTCACTGGTAAATGGCAATGTGCTGTAGAAATTATAGGTCTTCCTTTGATCTTCAAGGAAAAAGACAAAAACCCATCATAATCTTTATTAGCACCCTTATTATTCCATTCGATGTTTTCTAGGCAGACAAGAAGAAATACCACTACCCAGCTTCTTCATCCTCCATCAGGCTTCAGAGCTATTGCAAAATAAAAGATGCCATTCATCATCCTATGATTTACAGTCTAAAAGCTGGAAGAAATAAATGCCTGGTGCTCTAGGTGTATTGTAAATAAATATTACACTGGAGCCACAGGCTGATTAGCCACAAGAGATAACAAATCTTGCCATCTGAATAAATAAACAGGGGTGAATTCAGACGCTTCCCTGAGTTGAATGTTGTTTCTTACATTTAAAAAGTACATTCCCCCTTCCTCCTAGCTCAATAAACGACACCAATTCTGACCACAAAGACTCTAGAATAAGAGCATTTTTTTGGATGAAGATGGAGAGTAAGAATTAAAATGATAGTAAGAAAAAATGTTAATATTTTTCTAGATCTGAATTTAGAGAGCAAAAATTGTCACTGGGTATAACTGTCAAGGGACACTATGTACCTTCACCTGGATCTCCTGGCATTCTATTTTTTTTCTTTCTTTCTTTCTTTCTTTCTTTCTTTCTTTCTTTCTTTCTTTCTCTCTCTCTCTCTCTCTCTTTCCTTCTTTCCTTCCTTCCTTCCTTCCCTCTTTCTTCCTTTCTTTTGTCACCATAGGGCTTGAACTCAGGGTCTGAGTGCTGTCCCTGAGCTTATTTACTCAAGGCTAGTGCTCTATCACTTTGAACCACAGTGCCACATCCAGTTTTCTGGTGGTTAATTAGAGGTAAGAGTTTCACAGACTTTCTTGTCCGGGCTGGCTTTGAACCACCATCCTCAGATCTCAGCCTCCTGAGTAGCTAGGATGACAGGCGTGAGCCACCGACTCTTTGCTTCCCTTTGCTTTCTCACACAGCTGAGCGGTATCTTCTCTCTCCTAAACCTGCATCCAGTTTAAGCAGTGTACAATTTAAGCCTACTGAAGAGTTAATGCAATATACTTTTAGCTCTACTATCTGACACATGAAGCAGTCACAGAGCCCTCAGAGGCTCATTTGTTCATTCAATGGACAGTAATGCTAACTACCTTTCCTAGGAAACTCTGTGCCAAGCATTAGGATTGGAACAGTGATGAAGAGAGTTGAATGTAGTTTTTTTCTAGGAAAACAGACAATGCCTCGTCCTATCTCAATCTTTCTCCTCTTCTTCCTTCATATTCTTTTTCTTTTCACAGAGATGCTAGAGGAGAAGGAAACTAACACTAAGCACCAGTGTCCAGGCATGTTCATCTATCTCATTTAATCTACAACAACCCACAGGAAAGCAGTATTATCCACATATAGGTGGTTCCAGACTCAGAAATGCAAATAACTTGTACCACCGCCACGTGACATGGGCAGAAAAGACAGAACTAAGTTTCAAGCCAAGCCCTAACTCCTAAAGCACAGATTTCTTTTATATGTAGCTTCTTGGAGGAAGGGAGGAAGGATGGGAGGGAGGAAAGAAAGAGAGAGAAATGAAAGAAAGAAAGAAAGGAAAGAAAGAAAAAGAAAAAGGAGGGAGGAAGGGAGGTAAGAGAGAGAAAAAGAAGAAAGAAAAAGAGGAAGGGAGGGAGGAAGGAAGGAAGGAAGGAAGGAAGGAAGGAAGGAAGGAAGGAAGGAAGGAAGAGAGATGGTCCTGGGGAGCTTGAACTGTGGCCTTAGACACTGTCCTTGAGCTTTTTTGCCCAAGGCCAGCATTAAACCACTTGAACCCGAGCATCTCTTCAGCTTTTTGGTAGTTAATTGTAGATAAGAGTCTCATGTTCTTTCTTGCCCAGACTTGCATGAACCATGATCTTCAGAATTTAGCCTCCTGAGTGGCTAGGATTATAGACAGGAGCCACCAGCACTCAGCATGCTCTGTAGTCCTTTAAACAGATAAGATTCCCACTTTCTAAAATGATAAGATATGTCCAGTATAGCAGAAAGATGTTACCAGGAATATTCACAGAAAAGTAAATAAATTATAAGTGAGTATTAATTTTTGGTTATTTTTCACAACAGCTTTGTGATTCATTTTTATCATTATCATCTTTAAGTAATTTTATAAAGGAGTTGCCTATTCAATGAAGCAGTTGATCAATACAATGCATCTTGAGCAATGTCTGCCCTATCATCATTTTCCCCCCTCCCTCACTACCCCCATCCCTTCCCTCAATTTTCTTAATTTTGTAGGACGTTCATTAAATTTTATGATTACATTCTCCCTCACTTCCTCTCTTCATTCATTTACCCTCTCCTATTGATCCCACTTCTCTAAGTACCCTTTTCCTCGTGTTTATTTTGCGGGACTCTAAGTTAGCCTTTCTAAGGAATTATATCATTTGAGTTCTCCCCCCAAATCCACCCTTTTTCAGTTACGCTTATGTCCACTTGGATACTATCCCCAAAGTGTTTATTTGTATATTTATAATTAATTTTTGGTTCCACATATGAGAGAGCACAAGTATCCTTTGTCTCTGTGAGCCTGACTTAACTTCATTTAACATGATTTTTTTCCCAGGTCATTTCTTTGCAAATGATGTTGTATCATTCTTTCTAGTGTATGAGTAAAATTCCACTGCATATATATATACTACATTTTCTTGATCCATTCATCCATTGACTGGCATCTGGACTGAGTTCATACCTGGGCTGTGGTAAATAGTACTTCAATGAACATGGTTGTATAGGTGGTCTGTCTGTATCTTACTTCGTAATATTTTGGATAAATGCCCAAGAGTGGAATTGCTGGATCATAAGATAGTTCTGTGTTTAGTTTTTTGTTTTTGTTTTTGGTTTTGTTTTTGTCAGTTGTTATTGAACTCGGGGCCTGGTTGCTGTCTTGAGGTCTTTTGCTAAAGGTTAGCACTCTACCACTTTGAGCCACAGCTCCACTTCTGGTTTTTGAGTGGTTAATTGGAGATAAGAGTCAGAGGGGTACTTTTCTGCCTGGGCTGGCTTCAAACTCAAATCTCAGCCTCCTGAGTAGCTAGAATTACAGGCACAGACATGAGCCACTGGCACCCAGGTGTGTTTACTTTTCTGAAGAACCTTCACACTGCTTTCCAGAGTGGTTGAACAAGTTTACATTCCCACCAACAGTGGTGTACTAGGGTTCTTTTTGTCCACATCTACACCAGCATCTGTTATTGTTCAATGAAATTGCTCAATAACAGATTTGTTGTCTGACATCTAGATTACAGAGGCCCATAAATGGAGCCCCCAGTGACCTTAGACCCAAACTACACACAGAAATCTACTCTCCTAAGCTTTGCAAAATGAAGTGAAATGTGATGTTTTTCAGAATCTGATCAGCTTCACCTTTGCCTATTTCTGTAACAGATTTGTTTGTTTTGTTATGCTATCTCCTAAATGCTCTTCATTATAGCTACTCTGTTGTTAGTTTATATCTCCAGAGAACAAGTCACAAATATGACACTGCTGCATACTGCAATAAACATTGTTTATTCAGGTGTACTGTGTGGGCAGTGGAAGTTGTGTGCTCTGTATTTCTGAACTGATCATTGAAACAATAGGACACAGGACTAGGTAACTGGAAAAATATTATCAAGTTTTTCATTGTTCATGTATGATTAAGGCTTTAAAATCTTATAAAAAATGGCTTGAGACAAGACAAGAAAGAAATACTAAGAAATTTTCTTTGTCCAAAGAATGAAGCCAGAAAATCCTAAGAAAATGTCACAGGTATGAACCATTCACCTGTGTTACTCAGTATCCACAAATGTTGATAAGGTACCTAATATATGCCAGAATCCAGAAAACAAAAACAAAAACAAAACATAGTAACATAAAACTGAATAAACTAGTCGTGAGTATACAAAGGGGGAGAAATAAGAATTTTTTTAATGATAAAGCATATTTGTAACAGGCTTATAGTATTATAGAAATTATTTTACCAATTTCTTTTTATTTAAAGCAGGCTCCAGAGAAATGAATAAAGTTACCCAAATTTAAAGTGATATGTGGGCAAATTCCATTTTTTTAAAAAAGTATTCTCTGCTTTAAAATGCTTTTTCTTTAAATTACCCAGAAGTGACCTAACACATTTCAGAAATTGAGATAGGATTTGTGTTGATAATTGATGAAGATAACTAGATTTCTAATTCATTCTTTCTCTTTACAAGAAAGGACCTTCATCAAATTCCCAATTAAATTAGAATCAAGTGATTAGCTTTTATGGTTTTAAGGCCCTTGAACATCAAAGAATAATCTAGTCACAGAGGGAGATATTAAACTAACAGGTCATAGTTGAGTCAACTAATTAAAACCCAAGGAAGAGTATAAGGAAACTTCAGAAGAATAATTCTAAAGTGCCCTGGGGACCTTTCTAATAACCTAGTGAGTAGCGATTCATCTGGCAGTGAGATATATGATAACCAGAGAGTAAGTCTCATTATAATTAACCTTCTCAGCACACCCTGCCCTCTGTAATCACTTACAAGGGATACTTGAGATTTTTTTTTTGGTGGGGGGGTCTGGTCATGGGGCCTGAACTCTGGGCCTGGGCGCTTTCCCTCAGCTCTTCAGCTCAAGGCTAGCGTTCTACCACTTGAGCCACAGTGCCACTTCCGGCTTTTTCCTTTTTGCTTATGTGGTGCTAAGGAATCAAACCCAGGGCCTCAGGCATGCAAGGCAAGCGCTCTACCATGAGCCACCTTCCCAACCCATATACTTGAGATTTTTTTTCCAGTACTGAGGTTCAATTCAAAGTGTCACACTTGCTCAGCTTCCTTGCTCAACTGGTGCTCTACCATTTGAACCATCCCTCTAGACCACCCTTTTGTTGATTATTTTAAAGATAGCATCTCTGGGTCTTTTTTGCTAGAGCTAGCTTTGAACCATAAGTCTCCAGGATAACAGATGTGAGCCATCAATGCCTGGCTCCAAGATGAGATGTTAACTAACAGGAAGAGATGTTAAATAACAGAAATATTCTATTATGAACATTTCTCTGTCTTTCTGGTATAGACCAGAACCTCCATTTCTAAGATCTTTAATTGTGTAATTGACTTATTGGAATGTCATGATTTCTATAAATTGTAATTATTTTAAATCAAGTTGATTGCCCTAAGACCTCAAAGAACTCAAGACACTGGATTCTAGCTACCTGTGGTCTTGCCCTATTTAAGACCCCATTACTAGTAATCAATTAATATGTAAACTAGCATGATATTCCCAGCAGGAAGCATTGCTACAATCAAGGATAGAAGAATGAATTCTCTGGTGGGGATTAAATGAAAGACAAAGACAAAACAGGTAAAGGCATCTTTGTCTCCATTATGCAAATGAATAAGTACTGCTGAGCAAGTTGGAGACAAATCAAAACAGGAAGGTACAGGAGGAAATATTTGGGGTGAACCACCTGACACCAGGGTGGTTCATACTTACTGTATCTCACATAGTGAACTGTGAGTCCAATGCATACTGCCAGCACAATCAAGGAGACAAAGGTAATAAGGCCAATAACCCAGGGCTCCAAACAAGTTCTTTTCCTGGTCTTCACCACAGCCGGCCTGAGAAAGAATGTACATAGATTATAGCACCACATCCACTTCCTAAGCAAAACTGAGGAATCAAGGATATTCAAGTAGTAGTTTACTGTTATGGTTTAGAACATATCCTGGTACCCATCCAATTGTGGTTTTACTATGCCTGGCTTTAGACAAACTATCTAACGTCTCTGTGCTTCAGTTTTCTTGTCCTATAAAGAAGATGATGTTGACAATACTTATGTCATATGATTGTGGTAAAAATTAAATAAAGTGCTTCTAATAGTTCCTGGCCTATGGAAAGTGCTGTGTGAAATGCCAGTGATTACTTGTTGAGCCAGTGCTGTACGAACTATAGCATGAGGCACTCTAGATGCTACCTGTTTTAGCACTGTTGAATTATAAACACATTGTGATGCATATTAAAGCTTGAACCTTACCTTGTGGCAGATACAGCATCTAATTCTACTTGCTTTCTCATTATTTCCAAATCAGTATTTGAGGATACACACAAGAGATTACCAGAGGCCCCCTTCTAAGAGTCTGAGTCTTTGAACTAATATTAACCACAGGTTTAAGAGATGTTACAGAAAATCTACATGAGATTACCTGAATTTCTTCATTATACTTTGCCTCTAAAAACCCATGTTAGAAAAACATGTAGCTCATCCTGGTTTTTGTTTTGTGTGTTTTTCATGCTGGTACTGGGCTATGAACTCAGGGCAGTGGCACTGTCCCTTAGTTTTTGTTTTTTTGTTGTTGTTGTTTTGTTTTTGTTTTTTGTTGATCGTGGGGCCTGAACTCTGGGCCTGGGCGCTGTCTCTCAGCTCTTCAGGTTAAGGCTAGCACTCTACCACTTAAGTCCCAGTGCCACTTCTGGCTTTTTTCTGCTTATGTGGTGCTGAGAAATCAAACCCAGGGCCTTATGCATGCAAGGCAAGCACTCTTCCACTGAGCCAACTTCCCAGCCTTGTACCTTAGTTTTGTTTGTTTGTTTGTTTGGTTGGGTTTTTTTCTAAGACTGGTGCACTACCATTCAAGCTACAGCTCCATTTCCAACTTTTCGGTGGGTAATTAGAGATAAGAGTCTCTTGGGCTTTCCTGCCTGGACTGGCTTTGAATCTCAATTCTCAGATCTCAGCCTCCTGAATAGCTAGGATTACAGGTGTGAGCCAAGAGCTCCAGCCTCAATCTAGTTTTTTTGTTGCTCCTCTCTTTAGACTATTATTCTTTCACAATAACCAATTCTTGCTTACAGGAATTAAGAAGACTCATTACCAAAGGATATACAAGTAGGAAGAGATACTATATTGTTCCCTGACACATCATTATTACATCCTGACCATTCTGGGCAGCAAATACAGAACAGTGACATATAAACAAATGGTGTGATCATGTCTCTGGGGACTCTGCCCCTGCTTAAGTCACTGGGATGTTGTGTGACAGGCTCAAGGGACTGCTAGATCTCCTCCCTTGTTCCTGCAACTTTCCCAGGAGGCAGTAGCCAGGGAAACTTTGTCTTCCCCTCCCCAACCTCTTCCATTTCTCCCTTGAGTAGGATTCCAAACACCTGTTGCTAAATGACAATTACTACAATATAAAAATACAAGTCTAGAAGGAGTTTATTCTTCTCTATGCAATTGTGCCTAAGAAGCTCCCCAAACCAAATCCTGTTGCTTCATTTCTGAATGCTCGCTATTCATCTGTTGCAGAAAAAGGGAGATGCCTACAGCAGACGTAAGCAAAACTTCAGGGGAATACGGGGAGGGATGGATATAACAAATGCCAATGTGTGTCAGCTGAAGAATATGAATTCGTGCTCATAGGGAGTATGATGAAAGTATAGGAAGTACATGATTGCTCTATAGAATTGAGTGATGTTTATTCTATAATAATGTTTGGTCAAAACAGAAATGTAAACAGTGCAACCATTAAATTCATGAGAATAAATCTATAGTTATTAACACAAAAAGACCAGTGATGCTTAATCATAAACTTTTTCAGGATAATATGTATCCTATATCCTAGCTTTTAAAAATAATAAAACCATATAAATGTATACATAGCCAAATATTTAAAAAGAGACTGAATTATTCATTGGTAACAGAAGGAATAGAATTTTAAAAATAGCAGAATCATTTTCATTTATGTAGTTATTGATTCATGATAGGTTGAAAAAAATAACAAGCATTGTATATTTTTAATTAATGTGTGTGACATATGGAAAGAAGCTTTAGAAAGAATACAAAATAACTGAGTAAGATTATACATGTCCCTTAATAAAGTTCACACCACTACCATGTCTGAAGTGCTACATGCATTTGTCCCCTGATTCTCCCCTCCCACAATTCCTTTGTATTTTAAAGATAAGCCATCTTTGGTGGCTTAGGCAAGAAGGATTTTATGGGGGAAAGAGAGAAAAAAACATATTGCATAAACAATAAAGAGAACTAAGAGAATATTTTTTTGAGCACTGCCACCAGCTTGTTTGCTCTGCCGTGTTGTACCAGGAGATTCAATTCTCTCTTGTTTTCTCTGTTTGAAAAATCAGGCATCTTGATTCCATTCTCCTTCTAATCTTTCTGTAAAAGTAAAACTGTTGAAGAATGTTAGCAATTTAAACTCCCAAGTGAAAAAGAAATCATTGTACAAAAAGCAGTAGGCATAGTTATCATCATAATTATTTTAATTACTAGCGATGATGGTAATAGCCACATTTCTGAGATGTTTGACATTTGAAGCACTGTCTCTTCCTTCACCATTTTGGGGATCACTCTTCTGGCTCTCTCTCTCTCTCTCTCTCTCTCTCTCTCTCTCTCTCTCTCTCTCCTCTCTCTCTCTCTCTCCTCTCTCTCTCCCTTTTTTCTATTTTCTTACCTTTACTGAGATATAATTTACCGTTTCTTAATTACTTTGTTTTTCCACAAGTGATTCAATGTGTTCCAAATCAGATATGGTTAGAAAACACTCCCATAAAAACCTTAATATAATCAAAATAAACGCATTTTACATACCAACAGACATACGGGTGATTAACACCTCCCGCACATAAACCAACACTTCTTCAGACATTATATTCCTGTTGCAACTTATCTAAACTTCCTCATTGAAATTCCTAGATCAATTGAATTCTAACCCTTTTGTGGTATTCAATTGCTTTCTTACTATATATACAGCATATCCAATTGTTTTCATATAGATGTATATATATATATATATGTAATTTAGGAAGAAGTATAATTAGTGACAAGTCATATATATAATTTGGGAACAAGTATAATTAGTGACAGGTTAGATGGACACAGCAGTTTAAATACAGGTTCATTTTATTAGCACTTCTAGATAGTCAAACAATTGCATTTTCATTAGCACTTCTTAATGTGTCATACTTTATGACGAGTGCTTTAAAAAAAGCAGCAAAACAAAAAGGCAAAAAGAAACATATAGTACTGCAAATGTACAATGTTTGTTAGCTCGTAGCAACATGGAAGATGGTAAGTCAGGGCTCACAGTTGCCTCCACTAAGGCCCCGTACATCACCACAGTAAGTACTGGCCAACACTGGTTCTCTAACTCCTTGTTCATTCTTTCTGTTTAAAGAATATTTTTATTATCTCTAAGTAGTTGCACAAATGAGTTGCCATTCAACACAGGAGTTTATGAAGACAATGTGTCTTCATAATGTCACCCCTTCCACATCTTCACCCATCCCTCCCCAGACAAACCCTTCCCTCGCTTTTCTTAAATTTTGCAGGATATACATTGGGTTTTTTTACTTCAGTGTCCCCCATTCTTATGTTCAATCCTGTACTCCCTACCCCTTAACCCCGCTCCCTACACCTCCAGTATTGGTTTCCAGGTATTTATTTTGTTGAACCGTGATTTTGCCTTTCTAAGGAATCAGTGTTTGAGTTCTCCTCTAAATCTACAGTATTTCAATTAGTACATGTATGTACATTCAGTAGTGCTAGTATTCTCAGGTCCCGTGTTTCATCAGACTGGTACAGAGGAGCTGTTTACATAAGCACGTTCATTAAATCTGTAGATACACAATCTGAACTGACATGAGATTTGGCCATTATAAATAATTACTATTAGCTTCTTAAACCAGTGTTCGGCCACTGTCCAAATAAAAGTCCACATCACAACTCTTTGTAGGCTTTCTAAACTTTACATTCTTTGATGGAAATAGTCCTGCAACTGTAGTACAAATCCAGCCATAGCCAACATTAAAATGAGAAAGGTTATGTGCTACCACAACTTCACTTCTAGAGACTCAAATTTAAATTTCCTAACATTCTTGCCTGTCACAAACGATTGTATTCTGATTTATTTCCAACCACTTAAAACTATAAGACCCAGACATAGATCGAAACTCTGTATCAAAGCACCAGGTAGTAGACCAGATTTGGACCTAAGCCAAGGTTTCCTAATGGCTAATTTTTGTGATAGTCTGAAAGTCAATGCTAATTATGTTGGTCTGAGTTCTTGTGGCAAATGTGATGTGATCTTTTTTCTGATTTCCCTTGTTCTGAAAGTTACTACTAAAAATTGTCCTATAGATTAATCGCAGCTTTCTCTTCTGTCTCAGCAGTCTATGAGACATTCTCCATTAGAGTAAGCAATCTTTCTGGACTCTAGACAATAATTCCACTACCTAGAACCCAGTTGTATCCCCCATTAGCTTCTCCTTTTGTTCCATTGTGTCCTATGTAGAATGACAGAATCTGTTCTTTGCTTGCATTATAATAATGTCATGGAGTTTAAGAGTCAGTTTAAAATTCCTTTCTATTCTGATTGGTCTGCTCACCCCTATGTATCACAATGGAGTATGTATCACAATGAAGTGTGTAATTTAAGCTAGTTAGGTATAGAGTCAGAGCTTTCTATACATGCTCTCTTATCACATAAGAAATGTTTGCAGAAAGAATTGAATCCAGGTTAACTAAACCAAGTGGAACCTATAATTGTAAATACTGTATTGTGGTTATGGATCTCTGTCAATGTACTTAGAGTCTACATTAGTTCTGGAAAAGAACTTAGAATGTTATACACAAGGAAAGATAAACTAGATTCTGTGAAGAATAAGTGCTATTTAAATAAAGTATAACTTCAATGAAACACTTGGAGTAATGACCAAGATTTAACCTGTATATGATTTCCCAATGTATATTCTATCTACTATATTTTATCTATACTATAGAAGATTCTATCTACTATATTCAATCTACTATAGAAGATACAATATCCATTTCTGTGCTGTTTTCAAAGCCACAGAAAATGGGAAATGCAAAAGAAGGTATTAATTTGGGGATATGCGTATTATTTAGGGGCACTGAATGTCTGTATGCTGCAATATTAAACAAAAGCAAAACAAATAAACATCAGAATGCTAATGCATGTAAAGTTTCTGAATCAGTGCTTAAGATACAAACATCACTAACAAACATTTACCCAATATTTATTCGTATTAGATACTAG